CCCCCAAAATTCCCCGGGGGGGGGGGGGGAATAAAAACAAGGGTTGAGGGGAGCTGTAATAAATAAATAAAATCCCCAAAACCGCGAATTAATGAGGTAAAAAAATCCGGATTTCGGAAAACAAAGAGCGGGCGCCATTTTGGAGCTGCCCTGGGAAAGGTTTGGGGGGAGGGAGGGGGTTTAAAGTGATTTTCTGAGGGAAAAAAAGCCGGATTTGGGAAAAACTCGGCCTGCCTAGCAATCTTTATTGCTAGATTGCCACCTCCCCCCCAGGCACAACCCCAAATTTCACCCCAAAATTTCCACCCAAACCCCGTTTTTTAACCTCTTTTTCCACCCCCCCCCTCCCCACCCCGCGTTTCTCAGCGCAAAAAACAATCCTAAAATGGCACCTAAAAAATAAAAATAGGAAAGAAATCAGCTTTTTCTCTTTGAAATTTCCAAATCCTCCCCTCCCCAACACCGCGCGGATTTTTCCTCCCTTTTCTCTCCCCCCCCCCGCCCCAAATCCCCGGTTTTTGGGTTATTTTTTGCTTTTTTTTGCAATCTTTATGTACAGATTGCTCGCCGGGAATGCCCCGAAAATTCCCCGAATTCCCGAAATTCCGTCTCCCCCACCGCGCGATTTTGGGGTGTTTTGGGGTTTTTTTTGGGGGGCCATTTTCCAGCTTTTTTAGGGAGGTTATTGAGGTTTTTTTGAGGTATTTTGGGGGTTTTTTTGTTGTTTTTTAAACCGTGGGAGCTGCTCGTGGACCCCTCCTCCTCCGAAACCTTTTTTTTCTCCCGAAATCCCCCCAAAATTTCCAGCTTTCACCACCTTTAGGCACAGCCCACGTCCTCCTCAAGCACACGGGGGGCTCTTCCTCCCACTCTTTTTGCTCTTTGTGACAAAATCAGGTTTTTTAAGGAGTTTTTTTTTTGTATTTTTTAAGGGGGGAAGGGGAGCCTGCTGAAAATTCAACACTTACTATCCAATTTTTTTTCTCAGCCGACAGCGCTTCAAGGTTTGGATTTTGGCATTTGGAGGTGGTGTTAGAGCCAAAAAATTCGTTTGATTTTAATCATGGCTTTAAAAAAACGCAGCAACTTTTTTTTTTTTTGCAGCTTGACGGGTTATTTTGGTTTGTTTTTTTTTTTAAAAGGGTTTTTTTCCTTGGGATTTTGTTTTTGTTTTTTTTTTTTTTTTTTTAAAGGGTTTTTTTCCTTGGGTTTTTTGGTTGTTTTTGTTTTTGTTTTAAAAGCCCTAAAGCAGTGGATCGAGCTAAATTGGTCGAGCTAGAAACCAAAAAATAAAAAAATAAAAAATAAAAAAAAAGTTGCTTAGTTTTTTTTTCTCAAAAAAAAAGTGGGTTTTGCCTTTGTTTTTTGGGGGAAAGAAGAGGGAAATATGTTTTTTAAAGTGGCAGTTTCCTTCGGGTTTGGAACGGCTTCCAAGGACGGTCCAAAGGACGGAGAGGCTGCGGCGGCTCTTCAAGGCAAAGGGGGAGAGAAAACCTGTTTTTTCCTTCCCCTCTTTGTTGTATATATATAGATATATATATATTGTTGTTTTGTTCGCGTTTTGTATTGTATTTTGTATTGTTTGTATTGGTTTTTCTCTCGTGGTAAAGGCGACGGCGTCTCTCAAGACCAACCAAACCTGGAGCGGGGAAAGGAAAAATAAAAGGGAGGGGGGGAGGTGGGGGATGGGCATAACGACAAAAAAAAA